GACCAAAGCGACACAGGTGGTAAATGGGGAAGCCAAGATCTGAACCTAGGCAGTCTGGCTCTATGGTTCATGTACAAAACCCACTTAGAGTGCCTAATATCTACTCTGGCTTCCATGTGTATTAGTTTCCTCTGCCTGCTGAAACAATCACGGCAGACTTGGTAGCTTAAAACAAGACAAATTTATTGTCTTATAGTTCCAGAGGCTAGAGGCTGGAAATAGTTTCATTGGCTAATTTTGAGAAGTCAGTGGGGCTGTTTCCTTCAGGGGACTCTAGGGCTGAAGCCATTTCCTTTCCTTCTCTAGCTTCTGGATGTAGCCTCTATTCCCTGGCTCATGGCCCCTTTCTGGAATCATTCTGACCCTTTGCTTTTATCGTTATCTCTCCTTCTCTGTAGTCAAATCTCCCTCAGCCTCCTTGCAAGAATACTTGTGATTACATTGGGCCTGCCTGGATAATCCAGGATAATCTCAGCTCAAGACCTTCAATTTAATCAAATCTGCAAAGACCCTTTGCCATATAAAATAATATTCCCAGGTCCCAGGAATTAGCGTGTGGACCTCTTTGGGGGAGCCATTGTTCTGCCTGCCACACTATCCATCTGAGCTCTTCTTATCTGGATTCCAGTTGTCTTTGGTCCATTCCTTTCTTGGGGCCTTGAACACTTTCTACTTTGCAGGATAGCAATTTGTCATGTTTTATTTCTTTGACTGGAATTCAGGCTCCCTGAGGACAGGCGCTGGGACTGAGTCACCTTCCTCTCTACAAGGTTGGGCACCTTACAAATAGCATATAATTGTGGAAGGGACAGAATGGAGTGAGCTAAGTTTCCCTTGAGGGCATCAGAAACAGCTGTGGCAAAGGAGCCAGTGAATGGTTTCTTTCAACGAACCACCGTTTTGAGGATCAAGAGGGAGGTGACCAGCTGTCCCCCAGGGCTCACTACTGCTTTCCCTATGCCACTGCCTTAGCCTGTGCATTGAGGAGGTGAGAGCTGAGGGGAAAATTGGCTGTCTTCTTACCAACGCCTTTGACTCATTGACTCATTCAACAAATGTTTATTGACTACACATTAGTCACATCTTAGCTGAGGTAGCCATGGCCTTAGGAGTCTCTTTTTGGTGCCATGTGGAAAGACCTTGGGTCACTCCTTTATGTGCCATGGGCAAATTCCCAATCAGTGAGGTGGTACAAAAAGAGGCTCAGGCTACCTGGGCTCAGGTCCTAACTTTGCTGCTCCCTTGGAAAAGTCATGCCCACTTTCAGAGTGGCTCCACAAATCTCTGGTATTGCATTGGCCACATTATTAATTGTAAACATATGTGGTTTCTGCACTCTCCTTCTGTACCACAAGTTTCCTGAGGTGCAACAGTGTCCATGCAATCTTTGCTTTCCCATTTAATATGTTAACACCTGGTGCATCATAAACTCTTAGTACTAGTAGTAATAGAACAGTAATGGTTTTAAAAAGTTCTCATTTATGGAGAGCTCTCCATGTGCCAAGCACTGTTTTGTGTACTTTCATATTGTAACTCATTTAATCCTTGTAACAATTTTATGAGTTAAATAGTATTATTATCCACACTCTGCAGTTGAGGAATCTGAGGCACAGAGAGGTTAAGTAGCTTGCCTGAAGCCACACAATTAGTAAGTGGCAGGTTTAAGTTAAGATCCTCTGCCCACAGTTCATAGTGTAAACTACTTGGTACAACATGGTTTATTTGAAGAGTGAAACAAAATGTGAAACGAGGATCTCCAAGGTTTCTTTCACTCTGATTTCCTGTGAGTTTCAAAAATGCTTCTCAGTGGATGTGGGACATCTGCTCTGGCATGGCAGTGTAGACCAAGGAAACAGGTCCGCACTGGCGGGTCTGCTAAGAGTGGGAGTTTGAATCCAGGTTGTGGCAATTATGGGTGTGACCTTGGAAAAGTTATTTAACCTCCTTGAATTTCAGTTTTCTCATAGGGCAAAAGGACAGTAAAATACACTGTAGAGTTATGGGAAGAATTAAAAAAAAAGAATACTTTTTGGAAAAGCTGTTGGCACAGAAGAATCTATCTACAGAGAACAGTAGAGTTTGAAATGTAACGGTTACAGAACTGGATGTTGTTGTTGGGAATTTAGGAGGGTCAGTTTCTCAAGTATTAGTATTAAGTGAATTTAATGAATCCAAGAAGGTCTGCTTTCTGGATGTATGATTTTGGACGGAAATCTAGGTAACCTCTGTGCGTGTGTGTCTTGGGAGTCTTGGTGTCAACTGCTGGGGATGGGGTGGGAACACATATTGGAATGAGCAGGGACCAGGAAGTGAGGAATTCCAGATCTGCCATTACTTTGTGCGATCTGGCAGCTTTGGCAAGTCACCAGTCATCTTCGGGTTTCTGGTTCCTTGATTCCAAAATGAGGGGGTGGAATTTGAAGATCTCCGAGGTCTCGCTAATACTACCAGTCTAGAAATTCCCAAGCCAAGTTCGCCAATGAATGAAAATTCCTCTAGTATCCTTTTCTACCACAAGAGGAACTGTTTTCCCTTCCTGATGTCATTGCTATGTATTTGAGTTGGATGCAGGTGAGAGTCGTTTTGTTCTGGCATTTAGGCCCCTCCCCTCTCAAGTTGGTACAGAGCTCCAAGAGGCCGAACTCTCCCAGCCAGGTTGGCTTAGGCCTCTGGGTAAAAATACCCAATCAGTCCACAAACATTTATTTTATTTAAAAAAAAATCTCTTAATTAGAAAGCAAATACAGGATTATGAGAGAAAACACATATAAGCAAAATGAATAAAATTAAATTCTCCCATAATCCCATCCCCTAGAGATGGTCACTATTAACATTTTGGTGTATATCTTTCCTGATGTTTTTTGCTGTGTGAATTTTAATTTAGAAAATTAGATCCATATAGTACAACCTAGCATTTTGTTACCTGCTTTCCCCACCTAACAAACATATTGTGAACGATTTTCCTTTATATCACATATTCAACATTTTTAATGGCTGCAAAGTATTTCATCATATGGGTGTAATATTTATTTAACCAAACCCACACTGGGACTTTGGGTTGTTTCCATTTCACCCTGATGAATATCAGTGTCTTTAAATATTTGAAAATATCTTTCAGGTTTTCTTAAATTTCTCAAAAGAGGAATTGTTGGATCGACATTTATAGACACATTAAAAGATTTTGATACACATTTCCTTTCGCTCTCTAGACAGTTTGTATCAAGTCTGTATCAAAACAAATTCACCATAAGAGTTCATGTATTCCCATTTTAAGAACAAGTAGTCAGGGTGCCTAAATTAGGGGCTGGAAAGTCAGGGAAAGCTATGCAAAGGAAGTAACTAGGTGGAGATCTATAGGACACGGAGTAGTGAACCAAAGAGGGAATGTAAGTGTTACAGAGAGAACAGTATGTAAGAAGGTGCAGAAGTGTGGCCCTCTGAGAGCAGAAATTAGTTCCTTAAAGTCAAAGTTTGGAGTCCAGGCAAGTAACAGCATACAAATTGGAGAGATAAGCAAGAAGCCAATGATAAGATTTGTATTTTAGGAGGTTACTCTGGCTTCAGTGTATGGAGTGAATTGGAGTCGGGAAGACTGGAGACAGAGTAACAAGTCAGGAGGCTGTTGCAGTCCCACAAGTGAGCAATATGGCAATGGCCAAGGCTGGAATTGTGACAGGGAATGACAGACCGAAGGGACATCAAAGAGGTAAAAGGATAGGACTTAGTGATTGCTTGGATAGTAGGGGAAGTTGAGAGATGGCTCTCAAGTTTCTCTCTGACCTGGGGAGGATGGACAACCTAGACACTGCCCCATGTCTTTGTGATAGGGAGGTGGTATGTTCAGCTTGGACCATGCTAAACAGGAGGCTCCTGGGGAGGTGGAATGGAGGTGTCCTATAAATATTGAGAGGTCTGGGCTGCATGTGGCTGCTGGGACCTGAAGTCGTGGAGGGAATGTTGTCACCAAATCTCCCCACACTGAGGAACAGAGGGATGCCTGAGAGAACCCCAAGGCACACCAGCTCCTAAGGAATGTGTAAGGGAGGAGCCTGTAGAGACTGGGAGGGAGTACTCAGAGGTAGGAAGAAACCCTGCAGTGCCTGTTCCCACGGAGACAAGGGAAATTTTCAAGGACTGTAATTGACAGAGTGCATACAGGTATGTCCCTTACACTTTCCCAAGGGTCACCTCACTTAAAACTCCCAACAGATTGGGAAGGTGCAGACCTTCACTGACTAATTTCGGAAGAGGAAACTGATGACCAGAGAGGGAAGGCAAATTTCCCAAGGTCATCCAGCAAGTTAGTGGCAATCAAAAACTGAACCCAGGTCTTTATTAGCAGTGTGGGGGTTAGGCGGGAGAGGCCAGCACACAGAATTTCAGTGAGCTCCTGCGGTGGGTGTTGAGGAATAATTAAAGGCCACCACTTCCTAATGTGTGTGCTTGTCATTACTCTAGGCCTCACCTGCATTATTTCTAATCACGACCACAGAATGATTTTACTCCTAGCGCAGAGCCTGGGGCCCAGAAGGGAAGTGACTTGTCCAACATCAACTCCCTGGCAGGTGGCAGGGCCTGGTTGGGTACTAGGTTTTCCCCATTCCCAGCAGTGATCTTGCCGGTCACGCGGCTGCTCTGTCCCGAGGAGTGCAGTGGCGTATCCAGCGGGAACCCCGGCCGCCCCTCGCCCCCGCGCGCATGCCTGGCCGCTGAGGCGTGAGAGCCACCGCCCCGGGCCCTCCCACCCGCGCGCCTTGCACAATCAGCCCAGATAAATGCTGCGTCTCTGGACAATTATCGCCTTCCTGCCGCCACCGGGGCTGGCCGGGCAGAAGGCCAAAGGCCAAAGGACTCGCAGCCACCCAAGAAGAGCTGTACCCGCCGGTGGGGGTAGTCACGAGCGCGTCGTTCCACCGCCCAAGGCCGAGACGCGGGAAATGGGAGTCGTGGAGGCGGTGCAGGGGCGCGGCGCGATGACGTCACGCAAGCAGCCCCCGCCCCCCGCCTCGTCCCGCCTCCCGCGGAGACCGGGGTGGGAAGGCCGGGCGGGGCCTCCCTTGCACTGCCAGGTAGCGCAGAAAGGTTTCCTTTTGCTCCTTCCTTTTCCTTCTTTTTATCTCCCCTTCCGTTTATTCACTTCTCCATCTCTCTGCTTTTCCTTTTCATCTCTTCCATCCGTCCCCCCTCCCTCCCTTCCTCTTCCTCCTTCCGTTTTCCTCTTTTTCCTGCCTTGCGTCCCTCTTTCCCTCCCTCCTCTCCCCACCTGCATCTCTTCCACCCTCCATCCTTCCTCTCGCCACTCCTTCCTCCCCTCCTTTTTAACTCTCTCCCTTCTCCTTCCTCTCCTTTTCCTTTTTAAAAATAATTTCTTAAATTCTGTTTTTAAAAGTAAAAAAAGCCCGCCTAGTATAAAATTTGCCATCTTAACCATTTTTAAGTGTACAATTCAGTAGTGTTAAGTACATTCACACTGTTGTGCAACCAATCTGCAGAACTTTTTTCATCTTGCAAAATGGAAACTCTATAACCCTTAAATAACAACTCCCATATCCCCCCTCCATGTATCCCCTGGTAACCACATTTCATAGTTGACACTTGAACGATAGGAATTTGAACTGTGTGGGTCCACTTATATGTGACATTTTTCCATAAATATATTAGAAATTGTTTTGGAGATTTATGACAATTTGAAAAACATTTTCCTTTCTGTAGCTTACTCTATTGTAAGAATACAGTATATAATATATATAACATCCTAAGTATGTGTTACCTGACTGTTTACTTGATTGGTAAGGCTTATGGTCAACAGTACGCTATTAGTAGTTAAGTTTTTGGGGAGTCAAAAGTCATACAGAAATTTTCATTTGTGTGTAGGTGATTCCCCCAGCCCCCACATTGTTCAAGTGCCAACTTTGTTGTTTCTTTTTCTTCTTTGCCAACTTTTTTACCTTTTTGTGTCTTCCCTTTCCTTTTTCTTCCTCTGCCTCTTTGCATTATTTCTCTCTTCTTAAAAACCTAGTGGCCCTGCTGCACCCTTGCCAACCCTCTACAGCCTCTGCCAGGGGCTGGGCCAAGAGGCCTGTCAGTGAGGCTGTTAGAAGGCTGGTGAATCATCATTCCTAGCCCATGTGTCAGGGCCAGTGGGTGGCCCCTGGGAGCCTCACCTGGCTTTTTGCTGGTAGGCAAACATGTCCAACAAGGAACTTTAGCCAGAAAGAGTTAATTAGAGAGGGGCCCTGATTCCAGCAGTCTCAGTGTCAGGCTGGGAGCCCCTCTCTCCTCCGGACCTTCCCTAGCCCTGGGGCTCCCCTTCTAGACAGTGCAAGACAGTGATCATGAGGGTGATGGTGGTGATAACTTGGACGGACACAAAACCTTACGGTTTACAAAGCATTTCCAGAGACATGATCTCATTCTTGTTCTCACAACAATCTTGGGAGGTAAGACTTACTATTCCCGTTTTACAGGTGAGGAAACTGAGCCTCAGAAAGGTGAAAGGATTTGCCTATGGCCGTGGAGCTGGTAAGCATTAGAGTTGACAAGGTGGTGACCCAGATTTGTATCGCAAAAGCAGAAAATTCATTCCTCCCTCTTCTGTGTTCCCACGGCACCTTATTTAGACCTTTTAAGTGTGGGCCCCACCTGATGGTTTTCTTCAACACCTGGCATGGGGGCAGATACTGAATGAGTGAGTGGTGGAGTATTTGATGGTATGCACAGCAAGTGTAAAAGGGCTGATTTCTAGGCAGCTAAAGAATTTTTAAAGTCAAGTAAAGTTGCCATGCAGCGGTCCCTGGGTTATCTGGAATTTGGGCTTTCCATCCAGGGAATGCACTGAGAGGACAGAGGACTTCTCAGTGCGGACAGAGCTGCAGTTCTCCCTTTCTGGCTCAAAGACTGTTCACATTCTTTGAGTATTCTCTATTTCAATTCCTTTGTCATATGTTGGTGTGGAAGTGATTTTTAGTGTCAGGGATAATTGTGGTAGATTATTAATGTTCACCAATATATAATTCTCTACTTCTGGGTACATGGAAAAGTAAAATGCCAATTTTATTTCTGGGTACTTCTGGGAACACTCCCCTGTTCCCTTGAAGTAAAGAATTGTCATGTGAGTATTTTTGGCCAATGTGATTAGAAGTGGTGTTTGTCCCTTGCAGGAGCTCTGGATTGCAGGTGCTCCACTCCTCACTTCTCTTTCCTCCAGTGGCATTAACAGAGGGACCACATTCTAGGATGTTGGAACTTTATTGGCTTGGGTCTCAGGGAGATTATCATGAGCATAAACCCCTTATCAACTGTTATGGCTGTGTAGAGTCAGTGAGGAATAAATTTTGGTAGAGTTAGGCCACTCAGATTTGGGCTGTTTGTAATGTAGCCTAATCTACCTATTCTGACCAATGTAAGTAATTGATAGAGCAATCAATGTAATATGTTAAGTGCTTAGTCAGTTTTTAAGCATAAGTTTCACCTTTTGGAACAAGATTTTAATTTTCTAAAGGTAAAATTTAACTGCACAAACTAATAGAAAATAAGTTTGATTACATTTTCTTCCTTAGACATCTTTATCACGTATTCTGAGCATCATTGAGATATAATTGAAATACAATAAACTCCACATAAAGTATATAATTTGTTATTTTGAGCTATGTATATACCTGTGAAACCATTACTGTAATCATGTTAGTATATTCCTTACCCACAAAGTTTCCTTGTGTCCTTTTGAGATCTCTCCTTCCTGTCCCTTCCCACCAACCCCCACCCCAGTATCTAGTTGCCAGGTAATCACTGATCTCCTTTTATTGCAATAGCTTAATTTGCATTTCTTAAAGTTTTATACAAACAGAATCATACAGTATGTACTAATTTTTGCCTGGCTTCTTATCACTCAATATAATTCTTTTGAGATTTTTCCAGAGTGTTTCATGTGTTAATAACTCATGGTCTTTATATTGCTGGATGGTATTCCATTCTATGGATGTATTGCAGTGGTTTTTCATTGTGGACTTTGGTTATTTCCAGTTTTTTGCTATGACAGTAATATTACCACAAACATTTGTATGCAAGTCCTTGTATGGACATGTACTGTCGTATCTCTTGGGACACTTAGGAAAGGAATGGCTGGATCATATGGTAATTGGTGTATGCTGAACTTTTTAAGAAACTGTTGAACTGTTTTCCAGGGTAATCGTAACATACATTCCCACCAGTGAAATCAGGTGGAGAGTTCTAATTTTTCCACATCCTTGACAACACTTGTTATGGTCCTTTAGTGTTTTTAAAATTGTAATCATTTTACCAAATGTGCAGTGGATCTCATTATGGGTTTTAAAATTATGATGAAATACACAAAACATAAAATTCACCATTTAAACCATTTTAAAGTATGCAATTCAGTGTCATTTAGTATACTCATAGTTTTGTGAACCATCACCACTCTAGTTGCAGAATATTTTCATCACCCCAAAAGGAAACTCCACACCCGTTAAGAAATGCCCCATTCCCCACTCCCTCAGCCCCTCATTATCTGTTTTCTTTCTCTTTAGATTTACCTATCCTGCATATTTCATAATGGAATATATGGAATCATATAATATGTAGTCCTTAACAACTGGCTTCTTTTACTTAGGGTAATGTTTTTGAGGTTCATCATGTTGTAGCATGTATTAGTACTTCATTCCTTTTTGTATCTTAATAATACTACATTGTATGACCACATTTTGTTTATCCATTCAACAGTTGATGGACATTTGGGTTGTTTCTACCTTTTGGGTTTTGTGAATAGTGTTGTTATGAACATAGGTGTATAAAAGTTTTTTAAAAAATTGTTTTTTACCATGTTTAATGTGAGATCTACCCCTGTTAACAAAATTTGAAGTGTACTATACATTATTGTTGACTGTAGGTACCCTGTATGGGTTTTTATTTGAACATCTATCTTCAGTTATTTGGGTTATGTACCTAAGAGTGGAATTACTGGATCATATGGTAATTTTACGTTAAATTTTTTTGAGAAACCACCAAGCTGTTTTCCACAGTGGCTGCATCGTTTTGTATTCCAACTAGCAAGGCAGGAGGGTTCAAATTTCTCCTTATCCTTGCCAACACTTATTATTTTCCACTTCTTGGACAGTGGCCATTCTAGTGGGTGTGAGGTGGTAACTAATTGTGTTGCTTTTGTTTCTGGAAGATAATTTCACTATGTGTAGAATTCTATGTTGACAGTTTTTCCTTTTGTATGTAAAATGTTCTGTCTTCTACCTTTCATTGCTTTCAATAATAAATCTGTCATCTGTATCTTTTTTACACTGTATATAATGTCTTTTTCTCAAACTTCTTTCAAGATTTTCTCTTTATCATTTATTTTGAGCAATTTGATTATGATGTGCCTTAGTGTAGTTTTCTTCATGTTTCTTCTGTTTGGGATTCATTGGGTTTCTTGGATCTGTGCATTTACAGATTTTATCATAATTGGAAAAATTTTTACTATTTTAAACATATTTGTTAAGACATAATTTATATACCATATAATTAACCCATTTAAAGTGTACAATCAAATGTACATTGTTATATATGTGAATGATACACATCCATCATTACTATCAATTTTAGAACATTTAGATTATCCCAAAGAGAAACCCTGCTCTTTTTAGCTGTCACTTTCCAACACCTGCCCTTGCACAAACATTATCTATTTTTTGTCTCTACAGATTTTCCTATTTTAGATATTTCATATAAGTGGAATCATACAATATGTGGTCTTTGGCCATTATTTCTTTAAATATTTTTTTCCTGTCCGCTCCCTTCTGTTTCTTTCAGGTACTCCCATTGTTTTAAAATTATTTTGGAAACTATATTTCTATATAATTTGTCTCCTTTGTAATCCTTTAGGTTTTATTTTATGCATGTAAATATATTATTCTAAGAAGTTGTGCATAGGCTTCGCCAGACTGCCAGAGGAGTTCTTGGCACAAAAATGTTGAGTGTCTCTACTTAGTGTTACAGATGAGGGTTTTTCAGAACGATTTTTCAAAAGAAAGTGATTCCTTTTACTCAAATAAGCTTAGGAAACACTGAGTGAAACATTTGACATCTTTTTCTGTTGAATTTCTCAGAGCTTTTTATTTACTAGCATGCTTTGTGTATATCTGAGAGGAGATACAATGTGCAACATTTACCAAATCCATTGTAGCATGGACTACACATGTTTTTCAACTTTTTTAAAAAACCTAATAATATCTAGTTCAATGAATTCTGCAAGTGGAATGCTCCAAAACATAAATCCTCTAAAAAAGAGCCAAAAAGAACTGAACTTTTATGTTATGTGTGTTTCTCCAACTAAGAGTAATTATCTAATGGGTGCATTTAAAAGGACAAAAATCTCGTGGACTCCCTACGTACAGATTTAACTGTATTTTAAAACCAAAGCAAATTTACAGATTAAACATGATATTACAAAAACCATCAAAATCCAAACAAATGCATTCAGTTTCTTGCTGATACTCACTGGCTATTTGCAATGTTGTTATGGGGCTGACCAGTTAAGAGGAGGGTTCTTTTGAATCTGCCATGCCTATAGTACTGTGTTTGTGGGATGACTCAGTTCTCCCACAGTCTTTCTCTATTCAGACCTCTGAAAGTTTGTTTTTTTACAAGGCTGTGATATCGTTTCATCTTCAGTTAACACTTTGAGATTATGTCTACCTCTCCTTTCTCATGAACTCTTCCAGTTAAAGCTCTACTGTTTGGTCCCAATTCCATCATAGAAGTGCAAACATGGGCACTGTGATGGTTAAGTTTATGTGTCTACTTGACTAGACCACAGGGTGCCCGGATTTTTGGTCAGATGTTACTCTGATGTTTCAGTGAGGCAGTTTTTGGTTGAGATTAACACTTAAATTTTTAAACTGAGTAAAGCAGATGACTCTCCCTCATGTGGGTGGGCCTCACCCAATCAGATGAAGGCTTGTATAGACTAAAAAGGGCAACACTTCCCTAAGTAAGAGAGAATTCTTCTTGCCTCACTGCTTTTGACATTGGCTTTTATTCTGGATCTTGATCCTATCAGCCTTCAGGCTGGAACTATATCAGCCACTTTCCTGGTTCTCAGTCTTTCAGACATGGACTAGAACTACCCCATTGGCTCTCCTGGATCGTCATCTTGCTGACTCATCTTGCAGATCTCTGGAGAATCCTAACTAATAAAGGCACTGTGGCAACAGTTAGAGATAAAGTATAAGTCTTTAGTATAAGTATGTTCTATGCAATATCTGGGGTAAATTTATAGTAAAAAATTGTTTATTTATCTGAAATTCAGATTTAACTCTGAGTCCTGGATTTTATCTGGTAACTCTACTTCTAGATGATACAGACTGTGATTTTATTATTTGTTAAGATTATTATCAAGGGAGAAAAATTAAAATTCTTCCTGAGAATTTCAGGATGGGTTTGCAGACTCCAACTGAGAAACTGCCATGGTGTTTAAATAGCACATGTGGGGAGTGATTTGGGAGTCCACCACC